TACTAAGTCACTCACTGGCAAGGAGCACATGAGTCGTGGAGATGCTGGACAAAGGAATGTCACATTCCCGGTGGGACACAGGGGGATAAGAGATTTTATCACGCTACTCAGGACAATGTGCAATCTGAAACTTATTATTTCCAAAATTTTCCATTTAATATTTTTGGACAGTGGTTGACCATGGGTAACTGAAACCATGGAAAGCAAAACCACAGACAAGGGGGACGACTATATACGCTATCGCATCTGTTGGTTCACTTCTAAAAAGACTTCCTATGGAAATAACCAGAGAGCAAAGATTTGTGCCAGGATATTTATCTCAGTGAGGTTAATAAATAGAGAAAAACAGCTACAGTAACCTGTTGTATAAACTCAGAACCTCCATACAGCAGAATACTATGTAACCATTATGATGAGGAGATAGCTATGTTCAATGGCAGAGAAAAATCTCCACAAATATCAGAAGAAAAGTTTCCATAGTTTGGGTGGTGCAAGCCCATTTTGTAAAAGAACACAATTGCTTACAACAAGGAATAAAGAAATAAGTCTAGAACAGTGGTTTTCAACCTTCCTAATGCCGCGACCCTTTAATATAGTTCCTCATGTTGTCGTGACCCCCAACCATAAAATTATTTTCGTTGCTACTTCATAACTGTAATTTTGCTACTGTTATGAATTGTAATGTAAATATCTGATATGCAGGATGTATTTTCATTGTTACAAATTGAACATAATTAAAGCATAGTGATTAATCACAAAAACAGTATGTAATTTTATATGTGTTTTCCGATGGTCTTAGGTAACCCCTGTGAAAGGGTCGTTCGACCCCCAAAGGGGTCGCGACCCACAGGTTGAGAAGGACATGAATCACAATTGTGAGATTATGGGTAATTTAAACTTTTCTTATCTCACGTGAAATCTTTTTCTATAAGGAACAAAGATTATTTTGCATTAAGGAGAAAAAAAGTGATCAGGCTGACTAGATGTGTAAGAACATTCCTGCTGAGGGAACAGTCTTTATGAAATCACAAGTGTGCAATTGTGGGCATGTCTAGGGAATGACAAGTAGCTCATTCCAATCTGAGAGGAAAGTGTGTGTGGGGTGCAGTGACTGGGATGAGGGGAGAGGTCCCCGGGAGACTTGTGAGCTGCAGGCAGGGGTAAGGGCTTTATCCTGACCAGAGGTGCACAGCAATAAGACAGAAGCTGAGCAAAACTGAACTAGAGGCTGAAGACCAAGTGGCCAGTATGACAAACAGTCCAGGAGGATAGAGGCTGGTTCCTGGTCCCCCATGGGCCATATGGCATCTGCAGAAGGACCAAACACCAGAACAGAGAGCAGGGCAGGGCTGCACAGTAAGGCTAGCTGGTGACTGTGGATGGAACAAGCAACAACAAATGCATGTCCCCTTGTGGGGCTGGAGCCTGGCTGGCCAGAAATATTTTGAATGTTGAGGTCACTAAGTGAAACATTCTCGGATCCCAGTGACCACCCCGTCCCTCATTCCTCCTGTCATCAGGGCCTGGCCCATGGTCAGCACTCAATAAATATTTGCAGGGTGAATGAATGTCCATGCTGATACGCATTCTCCTCCAATCTCCAGACCCTTTTATTTATTCATTCCTTCAACAGACTATGACTACCTCCAGGGATACAGAGATGAATAGGGTCCCTGCTTCCAAGAACTATATGGACCTAATGGACAATAAAGTTCCAACTTCAGTGTAGTGTGGAAACCCATGTTGCAGGTCTGCCCCGATGTTATGGGAACCCAGAAGTGAGGCATCTAAAACTGACCGGGTTGGGCCAGGGAAAGCATCCTAAAGGAAATGGGAGGGGTTTTAAAGAAACTGAGTGACAGAGTAAGATATGGAGTGTTAAAGAGATTCCTTTGCTGCAGTGGGAATGGTCTAGAGGGAGCATGGGTGACCAGTTAAGAGGCAAGAGCACTAATGTAGGCAGAGGATGATGTGGCCTGGTCTAGTATGAAGGCAGGGGAGATGGAAGAAAAGAGATGGAAGCATCCAAAGGGAAAAGGCAGGGATACATGTCAAAGGTCATGTTTATATTTCTGAGCAGAGCCAATGAGTGGACAGTGGTGCCATCGGTTACAATGGGTGGTGCACTTTCCTTGGCTTGCAGGAAAGTCAAGTTCAATTTGGAAAACACTGAATTTGAGCAGTTGAGGGGTCTGAAGCTTAGAGGAGCTTTGTGGCTGAAAGAGAAGTGGCAAACTAAAGGGGAAGCTAAGCTGCAGGTGCATCCACTTACCACCATACAGAGGCTTGGGAGTAACCCTGAGGACCGCTGAAGTTAATAGCTCAGAAGGGGCTGCAAGGGAGGCAGAGCAAGGCCTCAGGGTTGGAAGAGAACCAGGGTGGTGGTTCACAGAAGCCAAGGGAAGAGGCTTCTAGAAGGAAGAGGAGACAGTAATTCGCTGTGTCTGTGAACAGGAGAAGAACAATAGCTAGAATAGTGGTTTTCAATTGTGAGTGATTCTACCCCCTCGGAAATATTTGGCAATGCCTGCCTGGGGACATTTTTTTGGTTATCACAATTCTGAAACTGCCACTGGTATCTAGTGGGTGAAGATCAGGGGTGCTGTTCAACATCCTACAACACACAGGATGCCCCACCCCAAGAATTATCTAGTCCCCAATAGCGATAGTGCTCAAGTTGAGAAAACCTGAGCTACAGGAAGTTGGCGAATTTTAGCAAGGATTTTCTTTTTACTCCTCACCCAAGGATATGTTTTTCATTGATTCTAGAGAGGCAGGCAGAGGGAGAGGGAGAGAAACATTGATTGGTTGCTTCCTATTCATCCCAACCAGGGATCAAACCTGCAACCTGGGTATGTGTCCTGTCTGGGAATTGAACCTGTGACCCTTTATGGGACACACTCTAACCCAGCGGTTGCCAACCTTTCAGATCTCACGGACCACCAATGGCGACTGCTGCTCTAACCAACTGAGTCACACTGGCCAGGGCTAGCAAGGATTTTTTAAAAGAGCAGAGACTGCTGGCCGGTGTGGCTCAGTGATTAAGCGTCAACCCATCTCTGAGATTAAGCGTCTCAGATCACGGTTCCATTCCCAGTCAGGGCATGTGCCTGTGTTGCGGGCTCAATCCCCAGTAGGGGGAGTACAGGAGGCAGGCGATCATTGATTCTCTCTCATCATTGATGTTTCTAACTCTCTCTCCCTCTCCCATCCTCTCTGAAATCAATAAAAATATATTTAAAAAATAAATTAATTAATTAAAAATACTTTGAGTTCCAAGCCCTCCTCTGACAAACCAATTCCTTATATGGGTCAGCCAGCCTCTCCAGGAGTTATCCAGTCATGGGCATCATCCCATCTCTCGCAAATGCTGAGAGTTGACAATGGGTACATGTGGTTCAATATCTTACTCTACTGTTATGAAAAAAAAAAATTTTTAAGTCCTCACCCAAGGACATGCTTAGAGAGGAAGGGGAAGGGGGAGAAGGAGAAACATTGATGTATCAGAGAATGCATCGATTGGTTGCCTTCCATAAATGCCCCCTCTGGGGAGATTGAACCTGCAACCCAGGTATGTGCCCTAAGAATCAAACCAGCAACTTTTTGGTGCACAGGAGGACGCTCAACCAACTGAGCCACTTTGGCTAGGCTACTGTCATGTAAATTTAAATATTATTGTATTTCTATAATAAAAATACTGTTTTACTTTAAAAAATATATTTTTTTATTAAAACTTAGAGAAAAAGGGAGAGAAAGAGAAAGTGGAACATCGATCAGCTGCCTCCTGTACGCTCCACATTGGGGATTGAGCCCACAATCTGGGTATTGAACCAGCACCCTTTTGGTGCATGGGATGATACCCAATCAACTGAACCACACTGGCCAGGGCTGTTTTACTTTAAAATTAGTTTCAGTGTAGGGAATCATACATAGTCCCACAACCCAGGTGGCAGCCAAAGCCAGCCTGGGAAGACTATCCATTCCTCAGCTCACCAGAGCAGAGAGGAGGAAGGGGAGAGGGAGGAGAAGAAGGATGAAGAGGAGGAAGAAGAGAGGGGAAAGGAGAAAGAGGAAAAGGTGGGGGAGAAAGATGTGGAGGATGAGGAAGAGAGGAGGAGAAGAGGAAGGAGGGAGAAGAAGAGGAAGAAGAGGAGGAGGGCAAAGAGGGGGAGAGCTCTCTAAAACAGTGTTCTTCCCTGGGGAGAAAAGAATCCTAGTACCTGGTCTTTCCATATTTTTCTCCAGAGTCCTTGAAACCATGCTCTCAGAATGACAACCTTACCAGGTACTACTGGGCCTTCCTCAAACCCTTATGAGGTAGGTAACATCAGGAGGTAGGCACCACCATACCTATATTATGAATGGAGACACTGAGGCTTACAAGTCATACTATGAGGGAGTGGAGAGCAGGGCTTTGAACCAGCCTACCAACCTCACATCCAGCCTGTTGAACCACTGCCATGCTCCCATTCCCACACAGAGGTCAAGTTCAGTGTGTTTCAGACGTTCAGGTGATGGAGTGACAACAGTCAAGGTCACCCAAACCTAATGAGAAGCCACTCATTGGGGACTCAGTGGGTCTGACCCACTGAGTGGGAGCCTGGGAAGATGAATGGGCCTGCCTAGAGCAGGGCGCTGGTCAGAGTCCCTTCCATAGTTGAGCCCACAGCAGGCCAGGCTGTCCTTCTTTGGCACCTTCCAGCTCTTAAGAGCAGACCTAGTTTCTGGTGTCTCCTCATTTTTCCTCCCCTTCCACCATCTTATTTTGGACATGCTCTCTGTCTGATCTTGATTTTTACCTCTTTTGGGAACCTATATCCAATCTTATACCACGGCGGTGGCAGAGTAGAGTCTGAGATAAAAATGAAACTTTAAAAGTATCATTGCAAGGCTGCAGCTCTTCTACACTGAGGAATGCTGCAGAGTCACAGGTAAAAAAGACAGTGCTTAACAGGACAGCCAAAAGCAGTCCCTCTACAAAAACGTCTTGGTTTCTTTACCTGCAACTTTATCCCGAATAAGTTTTGCAGACTCGACTTCACCAATACTGCTGAACAGACTTCGCAACTCATCCTGGGTCATGTTCTGAGGGAGGTAGTTGACTATTAAATTTGTTCTCCCGATGTCATCCCTGCAGTCTTCGGCCATGTGGTCTTCATAACCATTAGACATTGTATTTTTTAAAAATCTGCAGGGGAAAAAAAAAATCAAGTAAATTCCTAATGTTCATATTGCAGAATGTGAAACAAAACTAATGACTGCATTAGCACTTAGTTTTCTCTTCAACATATGTCCACACAAAAACCTGCACATGGATGTTTACAGCAGCCCCCAAACTGGGAGAAACCACGATGCCCTTCAGTAGGTAAATGGAGAAAAAAACATCTACACAAGGGAGTATTATTCAGGAATAAAAAGAAATGAGCTATGAAGCCATAGAGACATGGAGGAACCTTAAATGCACACCGCTAAGTGAAAGAAAACAGCTTGAAAGGCTACATATTATATGATTCCAATTATACAACACTGTGGAAAAGGTAAAACAATGGAGACAATAAAAAGATGAGAGGTTGCTGGAATTTTGGGAGAGGGATGAATAGACGAAGCACAGAGGATATTTTAGGGCAGTGAAGCTATTCTGTGTGATACTATAATGGTGGATACATGTCTTTCTACATTTGTCCAAACCCATGGAATGTACACCACCAAGAGGGAACCCTAAAGCAATTACGGGCTTCAGATAATATGTATCAGTAATGGTTCATACTAATGTGAGATGCTAATAATAGGGGAAACTTTGTGTTCAAGGAGAGGTATATGGAAACTCACTTTGTACTTTCTTTGCAATCTTTCTGTAAACCTAAAACTACTCTAAAAAAGTCTGTTAAAACAAAACAATTCCAAGTTCAACCATTTCCACTTACTAAGAGGGCTTCAAAAAAGACACATACAATTTCAGCACCCATCATTTAAGTTCCATATACAATGTGCAACATTAGTCCAATCTCCCAGCATTTCTTTTACTTATTTGCAAATGTTCTGTTCCCTGCTCTTTATAAAGTAGTTTGGCATCAAAAGCCAAAAAAAGAGATTAGAAAGTTAGACTTCATAAGGTTCAAAACTTTGCATGCCAAAAGGCATCAGAAACAGACAAGCAGGAGACTGGGAGAAAATACAGCTGACCTTAACACAGAATTGAAAGCATGCAGGCTTTGGAATGCCTTTAGTGGACCCACATAGTTCAAATCTGTTGTTCATAGGTCAACTGCACTTTTTTAAAAATATACTTTATTGATTTTTTTACAGAGAGGAAGGGATAGGGATAGAGAGTTAGAAATATCGATGAGAGAGAAACATCGATCAGCTGCCTCCTACACACCCCCTACTGGGGATGTGCCCACAACCAAGGTACATGCCCTTGACTGGAATTGAACCTGGGACCCTTCAGTCCGCAGGCCAATACTCTACCCACTGAGCCAAACCGGTCAGGGCCAACTGCATTTTTATAAGGTAGATTTAAAAAAAAAAAAAAGAATATATACATATTTATTGATTTCAGAGAGGGAGGGAGAGGGAGAGATAGAAACATCAACGATGAGAAAGAATCATTGATTGGCTGCCTCCTGCACGCCACCTACTGGGGATCGAGCCTGCAACCCAGGCATGTGTCCTTGGCTGGAATCGAACCTGGGACCCTTTAGTCTCCAGGCTTAAGCTCTATCTACTGAGCCAAACCAGCTAGGGCTATAAGGTGGATTTTTGATTACACAGGGCAGGGGTCCTCAAACTTTTTAAACAGGGGGCCAGTTCACTGTCCCTCAGACCGTTGGAGGGCCGGACTATAGTTTAAAAAAAAACTATGAACAAATTCCTATGCACACTGCACATATCTTATTTTGAAGTAAAAAAACAAAACGGGAACAAATACAATATTTGTATTTGCATGTGGCCTGCGGGCCATAGTTTGAGGACCCCTAACATAGGGTATCAGCACCTTTAATCCCCATGTTGTTCAAGGGTCAACTGTATTTGCTACCTATTATATTACTTAGATTGGTGGTTCTCACCTGGGTGATTCTGCCCCCAGGGGATATTGGGCAATGTCTGGAGACAATTCTGATTATCACAACTGGGGGGTGGGGTGTGTGTGTGCACGTGCCACTGGCATTTAGTGGGCAGAGGCCAGGGATGCTGCTGAACATTCCACAAGGCACAGGACAGTCCCTACCAAGATCTATCCAGCCCCCAAATGTCAATACTGCCGTGGCTGAGAAAAGTCCATTTAGAACATCTACAAATTAATTAAAAAATATATATATATATATCACTAACAGACAAGTGATCAAAGGATATTAACTGCAACTAATAGATGCCAGCAATTCAAATGGCTAGGAAACTATGGAAAGAAGCTCAAGTTCGAGAATAATGAAGGAGATGTGAAATAAGAGATGCTACCTTTTGCTTGTTAGAGGGAATAAATCCAGTTTAAAGATAAAGGGGAAATACCCTTATAGACTGTTGATATGAGTGTGACATGGTACCACCTTTTTTTTTTTTTTTTTAAATATATTTTATTGATTTTTTACAGAGAGGAAGGGAGAGGGATAGAGAGTTAGAAACATCGATGAGAGAGAAACATCGATCAGCCGCCTCCTGCACATCTCCTACTGGGGATGTGCCCGCAACCCAGGTACATGCCCTTGACCGGAATCGAACCCGGGACCCTTCAGTCCGCAGGCCGACGCTCTATCCACTGAGCCAAACCGGTTTCGGCGGTACCACCTTTTTAAAGGATAACTTGGTAGTGCCTACCAAGATTTTTTATGTGAATACTACCCTCCAACTCAGAACTGTAGGAGTCTGTTCTAGGGAAATAAACACACATGTGTAGGGGAACATGCATAAGAACACATAACCCCCTGGCTGGTAAAAGTAAAATACTGAATATAATTTAAATATGCATTATTGGGGAATGGTTAGATAATACCAACAATCAGTAAAAAGCACAGGATACGTTTAATTATGAAAAACTCTACAAACCCGTTAAACTGTTTGTGAGCAGGAGACTTTGAGATCATTAGCTCAAAAGCAAACAAAAACATCTGCTGAAACCTGAACCAAAGTGCAAGGGTAAACTCTAAGAAATTAAAATACACTCTGAAAAAATTTTTTTTTAAAGATAAAGATAAAAAAACACACTTAAGTTTGCTCCAAATGGGATTCTAACATTTTTCTTCTTTCCTCTTTTTTCTTTATCACTCCCTCTCTTCATTCTTGTTTTGTGTTAGGCATCTACTCCTCTGCCTTCTCCTTCAGCCTGCCTTCATGGATGAACAATAATTACTCATTCTCATTATCCAGAGAGGTGTGGTGTATTTTCTACCCCTGGTAAAAGTTAACTTTCTAAAACAGTGGTCGGCAAACTATGACCTGGGGGCCAAATTTGACCCACTGCCTGTTTTTATAAATAAAGTTTTATTGGCACACAGCTACTCTAATTTGTTTATGTATTGTCTGGGCTGCTTTTGCCCTATAGCTACGTAGTTGAGTAATTGTGACAAAGCTGAAAATATTTACCATCTAGCTCTTTACAGAAAAAGTGTGCTGACCTCTATTCCAAAATGTAAAAACAGAACATTTCTAGGAGAAAATCTTTGTGACATTAGATGAGGCAAAGATTTCTTAGACACCACACCAAAAGCCCAATCCATATAAAAGAAATTGATAAACTGGATTGAAACTGGAAATTGATAAACTGGAAATTGAAACTAGATACTACCAAATGTTAAAACTTTTGCTCTGTGAAAAGACGCTGCTAGGAAAATTACAATCCATAGGCTGGAAGAAAATATTTGCAAATCACATATTTGCAAAAGTACTTGTATCTAGAACATATATTTTTTAAAACTGTCCAAACTTAACAACCCAATTTAAAAAATGGCAAAAGAAGATATATGGATGGCAAATAAACATGTGAAAAGATGCTCAATGTCATTAATTAGGGAAATGCAAATTAAAACCTCTCCGCATTTAGGGTGAGAATCGAGATACTATTACCCATTTAGAAAGGCTAAAACAAAATAAAACAAAAGCAAATTATCCCTGAAACTAATATAATATTGTACGTCAACTATCCTATCTAATAATAAAGAGAAACATGGTAATTGGCGTACAACCGCTACCCTTCCCATTGGCTAATCAGGGCAATATGCAAATTAACTGCCAGCCAAGATGGCGGCTGGCAGCCAGGCAGCTTGAAACTAACATGAGGCTTGCTTGCTTCAGTGACAGAGGACTCCAACGTTCCCCGCCTGCCGCTGCAGGCCTCTGAGCTGCAAGCAACTATGTAACAAACATAGAAGCTAAACAAAACCCCAGAAACCTGCCGGGCTTCAGCCAGCAGGATCGCAACATTGTAAGCAAAGGCCAGAAACCTACTTTCAGCAGCGGAGGCCTAAGAGCTGGAGCCAAGCCTCAAAGCTAAAGTTGGCCCAGAATAAAAAAAAGAAAAGAAGAAAAAAAGGAGCGGTTGGGAGCTTCAGTCACCCCCAGCCTGAAAACAGCCTTCAGCTCCTCATTCAGACTGGCCAGGCACCCCAGTGGGGACCCCCACCCTGAAGGATGTGTGACCAGCTGCAAACAGCCATCATCCCCTCACCCAGGCTGGCCAGGCACCCCAGTGGGGACCCCCACCCTGATCCAGGACACCCTTCAGGACAAACCAGCTGGCACCCACCCATGCACCAGGCCTCTACCCTATATAGTAAAAGGGTAATATGCCTCCCAGCACCGGGATCAGCGGAGCCGCAAGGCCTCCTGGCACCGGGATCAGCGTGACAGGGGGCAGCGCCCAAACGCCCTGATCGCCCTGTGGCTCTGTGTGTGACAGGGTGCGGGGCCCCAACCACCACCCCCCCCCCCCCCCGCCCCACGGGCCCTGCTCTGTGTGTGACGGGGTAGAGCCATAACCTCCCCATCGGCCCTGCCCTGAGTGTGAGAGTGGTGGCGCCCCAACCCCCTGATCGGCCCTGCTCTGTGGGTGATAGAGGGCGGCGCCCCAACCCCCTGATGGGCCCTGCTCTGTGCGTGACAGGGGGCTGCGCCCCAACCCCCTGATTGGCCCTGTCTGTGCGTGACAGGGTACAGAGCCCCAACCCCCCTGATGGGCCCTGCTCTGTGAGTGACAGG